GTTGGCCAGGGAGACGTTTACACAGCCATACGAGAGGTCGGTAGCGGCAAGCGAGTTTTGCCCTGACAACTTTGAGAAAATATTGTCCAGAGTGGCTGTCCCGCGTTTCTTCTGCAATGATGAGAGAAATGGGAGAGGAGTGGAGGTGTATGGTGGCCTAAAAGTCGGTCAGGCAACAAATCAGTTCGGTTGCTTTGTCCGCATTGAAGTCGACGAAACTGCAACGAAAGCAGCAGAAGCTCCTTGGCCAAAGTTCCCTTATTTTTTTTTTTTCATTTTCTGATTCAGATAATTTGCTTGCACACACATTCAGTAATATTTTGATCATATGACCCATTTTCATCAAGATACATGTACGTAATTTTCTGCATCCAAATTTTTGTTGACTTTCTGTTGGTGTTTTTTTTTTTCAATATCGAGCCTCTTATAATTTGTTACATAGTTGAAGTAGTTCTAGAGCATTTGTGTCTACACTTAGTCTATCTGAAGTGTCACTTTAAAAGCTGTAGTTTGAATGTCAAAGAAGTTAATTTCCAGGTTGCTGTTGACAAACTCATTTTTCATTTTTAATTATTTATTTTTTTTCAATACAACAACACAGTAAGTTTTTCTTTATTATTGAGTTGATGTGTATGCCTCTTGCCTTTTCAAAATCAAAAGTGATGATACCTGTGACAGTAATAAAGTACGAAATGTGTGCCTGTCAGCATGTGCCTCCTACAAATTAAGACTTGTTTTTTTTTTGATACACTGTGGTTAAATTCGTAATAATAGCTCCGTAGTCCTGTTGTTTTAGCAGCATTTTTTTTTTTGGCCGAATTTTTTTTTTTTCGACCTCTCGCATTAGTTTTGGGGTCTTCAGAAGATGTCATCCATAAAATTAAATCAGTGGTCTTACGCCAAAATATTTATTAAAAAAAAAGCGATTTTTTATTTTAAAAACCAAACTGCTGTTCATCGGCCAAGGGCGAATTTACGACAGAATCCAGTACATTGTATAGACAGGATTACGTTACCGTAGTGTAAGTTCTGAGTGTGTGAAAATTGACTGACCTCAATTAAGGGTCATTTGCAACAAAGTTGCCAAAATGTGACCTCAAATTAGCACCAGTCAGAAATGAAAATGTATCAAAGTGACGCCTATATGAGGTATTATAATAAACAATGAAGACAATTTATTTTTTGTGGCAGTTCACGTTTTGTGACAACAAGATTGAGTCCTTGTCTATAGGAAATTAGTATCGGTACATTCAAATATATGAAACATTATCTACCTGTCAAAAAGATGTACTGAACATGACATTTGTTACAGAAAAAATATTCTTTTTTTAGTCCCCGTTCGGACGCAGTCCGAAAACATGGACTGACTTATGTTTTGACCTCCGTGTCCGTGTGTGCGTGTGTCTGTGCGTGTGTCCGGACCTGTATCTTAGAAATGCCAGGACCAATCACAATCAAACTTTACACATACATCATACATGATATTACACATATGCCTGTCAATTTGTTCTAGATCTGATTCAAGATGGCCGAATGGCGGCCATTTTTGTGCTAAAAATCATCAAAATCAAGCTTATCTCGGCTGTTTACAGATGGATTTTGTTTAAACTTGGTATATACATGTACATTAGACATTATAGGACCTTGATACACATCATTTTGTTTTACGATCTGATTCAAGATGGCCGAATGGCAGCCATTTTTGTGCTAAAAAATACTAAACATCAAGCATTTCTCGGCTGTTTACAGATGGATTTTGTTCAAACTTGGTATATACATTAGAGGGACCTTGATGCAAATAATTTTGTTTTTCAGATAAGATTCAAAATGGCCGACTGGCGACCATTCTGTATTAATGAATGTGGTTCTTGTGCCATATCTCTAACTTGCTTTCACTGATAATTTTTTAGAATTTGAAATATTCATTATACATCATGTCATAGATAAACAGATATATTGGTTTGACTATCCTATTCAAAATGGTCGAATGGTGGTCATTTTTGTGCTAAAAAATCATCAAATATCTAGCATTTATGGGTGGATTTCGTTCAAACTTGGTACATACATTAGACATTACGGGTGCCTGGTGCTCGTCATTTAATTTTTCAGATTGG